TTACTGAAACATCTCTGAGGGTGAGATTATCTGTATTTAGTTTGATTAGGCATAGATTTGCGCATTTTATTTTATTTTGCTGGGTGACTTACTTTTTTCTGTCTGTTACTACTTTGAACCACTTAAATCCTACTGTCTGTATTTAATAAAATCACTTTTTATTTAGTAATTTACTCAGAGTATGTATTAATACCTGGGGGAGCAAACAACTGTGCATATCTCTCTATCAGTGTTATAGAGGGCGAACAATTTATGAGTTTGCCTTGTATAAGCTTTATGCAGGGTAAAACGGATTTATTTGGGTTTAGACCCCATTGGGAGTTGGGCATCTGAGTGCTAAAGACAAGCGCACTACTGCGAGCTGTTTTCAGGTAAACTTGCAGCTTTGGGACAAGTGATTCAGACCCTGGGTCTGTGTCTGGAGCCAGACAGGAGTGTCTGGCTCAGCAAGACAGGGTGCTGGAGTCCCGAGCTGGCAGGGAAAACAGGAGCAGGGGTAGTCTTTGCACATCGGGTGGCAGCTCCCAAGGGGGTTTCTGTGATCCAACCCGTCACAGGGGGTACAGGCATAGATGCGTGTCAGGATGTGTGGGGGGTACAGGTGTACATGTATGTGTGTTGGTACAGGCACACATGCGTGGATGTTGGGGCGTGTGGGGGTGCAGTGGGACGCACCTGGGTGTTGGGACGCTTGTAGGTACAAGCATGCACACATGGGTTTCAGGATGGGCGTAGGTACATGAGTATATAGAATCATAGAATCACAGAACTGGAAGGGACCTCGAGAGGTCATCTAGTCCAGTCCCCTGCACTCATGGCAGGACTAAGTATTAACTAGACCATCCCTGACAGGTGTTTGTCTAACCCGCTCTTAAAACTCCCCAATGATGGAGATTCCACCACCTCCCAGGGCAATTTATTCCAATGCTTAACCACCCTGACAGTTAGGAAGTTTTTCCTAATGTCCAACCTAAACCTCCCTTGCTGCAATTTAAGCCCATTGCTTCTTGTCCTATCATCAGAGGTTAAGAACAATTTGTCTCCCTCCTCCTTGTAATTACCTTTTATGTACTTGAAAACTGTTATCATGTCCCATTTTCCAGACTAAACAAACCCAATTTTTCCAATCTTCCCTCATAGCTCATGTTTTCTAGACCTTTAATCATTTTTGTTGCTCTTCTTTGGACTTTCTCTAATTTGTCCACATCTTTCCTGAAATGTGGCGCCCAGAACTGG